TGAAGAAAAGAAAAGAAAACCCTTGCACACTACTACAAACTGCAGAGATAGGGGGCATCAGCCCTTCCAACAACACGAGCCAGTGGGGGCTGGCCAGAGTAAACGGTACTCTTCTTTGCGCAATGGGCACGGAGTGATTCAAGAAGACTGCAATGCCTTCTTGTACTCAGAAAGTTAAAATCAGGAATCCTCTGAAGGGAGAAGAATCTGAAGATTTATAAGAGGGGCTACTAAAAGCCCCATTAGGACCCTCTCTAAACTCTTCCCATTTAAGTGGAGAGGCAAATAGCCCCCACTGGCGTTTATATTTAGAATGGGCTGGAAGAGAGGAAGAGCCCACATCTGAAGGTCTGTGACATACCCATGACATAAATCATTTCAGGGTGAGGCTGTCACCGTGCATCTTCTGCTCTGCCCTTTAAATGGACTGGACCCCAACATCACATTCTCCTCGGGGTAGGGAGCGGGGGGTGGGAGTTTCACGGAGAACAAAGAAGTCACCACTTCCTTTATCCTCCCACGAAAGACAGATGTAGTAAAAATATCTGCAGTGTAACATCCACTCACTTTAAAATACTGAACTGCAAACAGGTAGACCGAATGATAATGTTTGTGAGCCCCTAAATCTACACAAAGATGTATCTACTAAAAAGAACATGGAAACCAGTCTATTAAAGAAAGGCTAAGTGTGTGATTGATTGCACTCACATGTGCTCTCATTTGTAAAGCTACATTTAGTGGTTGCATCCTTATATAGAAAATCTGAATAACGGGACAGTTTTCATATTTTTTTTCATCACTGTTTCAAATAAAAAAAAAGATTTATGGTAACTGAAGAGCACACAAATACCATACAAAAAGAAAAAAAAAGCCCAGCTATTTTACTTTATTTTATCCTTTCAGTGTGGTTAGCAAGGCTCCTTTGTGTCTACAAATTTCCCTGGGTGGTGCTGTTGCCAAGAAATTCTAATTCATGACAAGGTTTTCTGCAAATTGGGGACAGAGGCAAACCTGCAGATGCAGGGACCCTATAGTTTGCTTTGTCTTTCTGGCTCAGACAGCACCTGGATGCTCAGGTCTGTAGAAGTCAGTGCAAAGGCAAGATCACCATAAAGAGGAAGAAGCAATGTAGCTCACAGAACAAATCCCATCCGTTGTATCATGAGACTGTTCTTGGAAGGCAACCATTTTTGTAGGTTGTCCCCTAGAGATGCCTCATATCAAAGCCCTTGTAGAAAGCGTTCCACAGTGCCTGAAACCAAGATGAAATTGCAGTGTTATGGGGACACTTTAGTTCGTACAGTAGCCAAGTATGCCATTAGTTTAAAACAATGGGGGAATGGGGGAGGAGGGAGGAATGTTCTATGATTTATTTATTTGTTTCCAGTAGCAGTGGAAAATTTTCTCTGAGCAAAAAGGAGGCCTGAAACTGACCCCATCTGCCAATTATGAATCAGCATTAACAACAAGCATAATTCCATAAGAGTTTTCAAGTAAACATACCATGCTCCTCAATGGCATGGAGCAAAGCTAAGTGCAAATAAGACTCAGAACTTCATTACTTGACCTGCACTCGTGAAAGAGCAGACGAGGTATACAAAATCTATCCAAATTCTACAAGTCTTTGTAGCTTCTTGGGAAAAAATAACCAAGAGTATCACACCAAATCCTTTTTATTTTCCAAGTCAGCAGTGGGTCCAGAAAAATCACGACTTCTACAGGCAACAAAACTCATGAATCATCAAGTGGCACCCTATAAGCTACTCCGGCTTCTGTCCTACCTTTGACTTTTTCCTACTTTTGCTCAGATGGCTCTTGGAAAATTTCCTGCAAGTTTCCGAAGAACCGAAGGCTGGTAGCCTTAAGAGTTGTGCGTCAGCTGAATTCCATAAAATAACAGACCACATAAGCACAGTGTAATTTACAGTTATATGACAGGCAGAGATGATGTTACTTGGACCGAGTGTTTAAGTATGCAGTCAGAGCCCAGGAATGGAGAGCTGTTAATGTAGGATGTGCATCTGGATTTTAAAATTACACCGGCAATGATTTTCAGAGTTGGAGCTGTAGGTTGCTAAAGACATCACTGCCTGAAAGCCCAATGTCAAAATGATGACCCCCATGACAGAAGGACCATCCCAAGCTCACTGACTGTTAAGCAGGACAATTATTCCAGGCCACAGTTTAAAATAAAATCCCCAAAGAGTCCATCCTTAATTTTCAAATGCACAGATGTTCTTGGGTTTATTATCCAAGCCACTCTTTCTCCACAAACCAAATCAGATTATTGGAATCTCTGTATTTGGCTCATCTCCTCAAGGCCAGGTACACTGTTCACTTTCAGAGAATATCTAATAATTGCTCCTCATCTGACCTCTAAAATCTGATTACCCCAGAGCATCAGGAAACTTCCTCCTGCCTGGGGGTTCTTTGTAGCAATCTTCTTAAGCCATTTTGAGCAAAGGAGTCTCAAAATTTCACCATGTGATGGTTGCCTTGGCCCCGACAGTTGCATATAACCATCCCCCCTCCTTACACTCAGAAGCAGCAAGGGGGACAGGCCGGCAGGGGCGGGGGCAGGAGAGGGAGGAAGGAAGAGATGGAGGTTGGAGGTTTTGTCATCAGCATGAACTTAGAGTCACAGTCACCTTTCAAGAGAGCAGTTGTGACTACAGGGACCAGGGCAGAGAGCTCCTTAGAGCGGTATCTTCTTTAGCAGAGCTTCCCCACAAGTTCTATTTCAGTGTGGACTATGAGCATGCCTCTCAAATAGCTTGGCAAAGGGTTTTAAGGTAAGAGTAGTTGCTGGCTGGGGAGGCTTAAGTCAAGAAGGAGGGAGGTGTGTGTATCGGGGGTGGGGTGGGGGGGGGATGAGATTCCTTGGTTGCAGATAGAAACTAAGCTAGAGGTTCCTTGACAGAGGCAAGTAGAAAGGGGTATGGAGAGGAGGGGGAAGGAAAAGCACAGAAGGCTTCCGAGGAAACAATAGATCTAATACATCCCCTAATTATCAAACCAGTGATGTTTCTTTACAGATCCAGACTCTCTCCTGGATGGTCTAACCAGATCTAGAAAAGCAGGTTTCCTCTGGAGAGGCCTTCCCCAAAAGCAGGCTTTACTACTGTGAAAACTTGAACCAAAACAAAGTTGTGTGATTCATCAGGAGGGAACGCTGTAACAAATAAAGCCAACTTTTTTTCCCTCCAACACTGCTTAACAGTTAGTCACAAACAAGGGCTGCCTTGGGCAGGCTGACTAAATCAACAGATTCCCTACCCTAACCTGTCTAGACAGTTGTTAATATGCAACCGGTTTGACACCAGGGGGCTGACAACGTGAAAGGAAAGCTATTTCAGAAAATGAAACTCTGGCAACATTTTGGCTTTCTTAGCTTGTGAAATAAAAGGAGGAAAAGATCTAGTGAGACCCTTCCTGAGACAGTCTCATTAGGGATGAGGGAAAGGATGCACTGAAGGAACGCCTTGCGCTATGAATGCGTGAACTGTGTGTGCACTCAGAGACAAAGTCGAGGGTCTCTGCCGGCATCCTTGGACAGCAATGGATTGTGGCCACACAGACAGCAGAGGCCAGCACCTGGAGGAAAACTCACCGCCTCTAATAAGGGCAGAAGAGCAACTAGTAACAAAGGTACAGTCAGAGGATCAGCTTTGCCTCTCCGCTCCCTACACGCAAACCCAAACCCCACTCGCTAAAGCAGCAACTGTTACATCCCTGCCTCAAGCTGGCAAATCCCGCTTCGGATCCTGGCAGAGGAAATTCAGCCGTTCATTAGCCTTAACAAGCTGCTGTCACTGGGTGAAGTTACATGAACAGCCACACACCAAGCCTCTCGCAGTCCTCCCCAAGGACAGGCTGGTTTCTTCAAGACGGACTGTGCGAGTTCACACTTCCAATGTGCAAATCCAGATTGTCTTCTTGGACGTTCCATGGTGCACACTGGAGTATTTTTAAAGAATACCCATACCCCCCCCCCCCCCCCCCCCCCCATCTTTCCTGCAGAGTGTCCCTTCAGCACTTCCTAATCCTTGCTGAGAAAACGACTGTTTCCGCAGCAGATCTAGCACTTTCCACTGACCAGCACTTTCTTTATTCCACTTCACAAAGCCCAGGGAACTTGTCACCAGACCCACTTTGCCCTCAGTGGGATGCCTAGCCAACTTGGTATCAGCGCCCTTCAGCATCATAGGACTTTCTTAACTAGTCCTCTAAGACAAAGTCAGAGGCATGGAAGCACACACCACCCTTTGTCAGAGGCTGTGCTTCTAACCAGGGAGGGACCCCCCCCAAACAAAAAAGAGAAAACAAGGATACATATGGAGACATTGCACTGGGGAAATGTACAGTGCATGGTCAGCATTAGAGAGATACATCTTCCCATCGTCCTCCTAGTTATCCTTGAGTATCTTTTGTCACTGGGCTCCTCTCCCTTCTGCCCAACTTCTCATCTCAAATTCAGTTTCTATCTTTTATTGACACTCGCTAATTACTGGGAAAACACTCCGCTATGCTCCTACCTCCTGACCCCCATCTGACGGTCGTCAGCACCAGTTGAAAGAACTGAACCTGATTTAAGGTACCAAGTAGGTAGAGCTCCAGCATGTAGGGACGCAGTATCCTGTCATCCATGGCCCATAAAGCCCCAGACCAGCTTCCCACCCGGTTCCTCCGAACCCCAGAAGTTACGCAGGTCTGTGCTGGGGATAGTGAGCCCGACAACGTGTGCGCAAGGATGTGTGTTGGTGACTGAAACGCAGGCAGCTCAGACCGGCTGCTCAGCTCAGCACACTAAGGGGTTAGAGGGTGGGTGGAGAGGTAAGCGCAGATGACTGTTTCCGAAAACATTTTAGACAACAAACAGCCAAAAAGGGGGTAAAAAATAAAACAAACAAACAAAAAATTCAACCCCAAGCCCACACCAACGCAGCCCCTGCGTCTCCGCCGCCACCACACGATTTACACAAGTAATTTAAATCATTCACCTGCTGCCAGGTCTCCTCCAGGGATGGCAAAGCTGAGAAGTAGCCGGTGTCGTGGACAAGTTGTAGCTCCTGGAATATACTATAACTAGCCAACACGTCCATGCTGCTGCTGCCGGGCAAAACGGGAGGAGAAACCCTCCCCCGAACACAGTTGGGTCTGTTTGTTTGTCAGTCTGTCTGGCTCACCCCCCAAGAAGGCAGACATCCAGTGGCCCTTTTGTTTTGTTTTGTTTCAGTCAACTAAAAAGGAAAAAAAAAATCAATGCAGGAGAGAGGAAGAGAGGAGGTGAGAGAGGAGAGAGTGAGTGGGGTGGATGGAGAGAGGCATCCAGCATGTACAAGTGCAGACGGCTGCCAGGAAAAGGGGACTTCTCCACGGGAGTAACAATTCCCTTCCAGGGCTCTAATCACTCCAGCTCGTGGATCAGGAAGGGGGATGCAAACTCACTGACACGAAGCTGCCATCTATTTCTGCAGCGCTGTTCGCTCCTAATGCAATCTTTGCTCTTTATTTTGGGAGGTTGCATTTTTTTTTTCTCGCGATCGCTTCTCTCCCCCCCCTTCCCTTCCCTCCCCACCCCCCACCCCATCCTTGCTAGTTTGTAGTCTCTCCCCCCCTCCTTTTCTCCTCCTCCTGCTCTTCCCCCTCCCCAAACTACCCCCCCCCTCCGCCGGGCGCTCCGCGCAGCCGTGGGATCTCGAAGGAGGGCGTCCATTAGGCCGCGTGTGACCATGTAAGGTAAACAGGGGGCTCATGAAGTCACTGAGGACCAATGAGGAGCGCGGAGCGGGGTTCGGGGCGGGGCTTGGCTCTGGCGGCGAGCGCGGATTGGCAGACTGCGGATCTCCCTGCTGCCTTACAAGGCGGTGCGAGGCGAGCTATTTTTAGAGGGCTATATAAGGGGGCTGAGGCGGCTGCGCGGCGGCCGGGGAGCGCGAGCGCGAGCGCGAGGGACGGGGAGGGCCGCGGCGACACTCACGCCGGCTCCCGGGATGCCGAGGCGGCCGGGCTGGGGCCACGCGGCGGCCTCCGACCCTCGCTCCGGTGCCTGGCAGAGCCCTGGGCGCCCGGAGCCTGCGCCCCTCGGAGGGGTGGGGTCGCGTGTCGCCGTCCTGGCGGTGACGCGGCCGGTCAGGAGGTGAAAGTCCAGAATGCGGGGTTAGGATGCCTCCTGGAGGAGGAGCGGGGCGGGAGCCCGGCGGAGCCGCCGTCGGGGGTGGGGGAGGAGGCACTGACACTTCCTACTCTGCCTCCCTCCGGGGCCCGGGGGCGGAGAGCCGCGAGGGAGAGGCGTGCAAAGGAGGGCCTCACTTAATATAAAACAAACCGAGGGAGGGGGGAAGCAAAAGGCACCAAAAGCCCCCTCACAAATTGCCCACAACCTACTTGGACGCTGGAAAAAGCGCCCGAGGAGGAAGTGGCACACAATGGAACCGAACAAAGGGAAACAGCGTCGAGTGAGCAACCTGCGCCCGCCCCCCCCGCGCGCAGCGCGCAGTCCCCGCCCCGCCCCGCCAACGCCGCGGTGCGCGCCGCCGCCCGCCAGCCCTGCGCTGGGACCCCGCGGGGGTTCCGCGCCGGGAGTCAGTCTCCCAGTTAGGGTTGATCGAAAGGGGACGTTTCGCTGGAATGTGAGTCACAGAGAATGGAAGACGCCCGGGTAGACGGGGAGCGCTGGCAGGAGCCGGCAGCTTGGGGATGGGGGGATGGTGTTCAAATCTGAAGCTCCCCGAAGTGGCGTCGGGAGAAGTGTCTGCCGAGCTGCGGTGGTGAGAGGCGGAACCGGATCGGACTCTGGAGCTGGCGGATAGAAATATGTAGATGGAGATACTTTTATCTCTTACATGAAAACTTTGCACGACACACTTTTTTTTTTTTTTTTAAGGGTCGACTACTTGTTTGACCTTATGTGGTTAGTGTCATTCAGGTTTCCTCAAAATGCTCTGTGAGCTGAGCTTACATTTTTGGAATGACTGCAGAATTCGGTACTTACTCAGATGAGAAACTTAATTCTGCACGTAAGGAAAAACACATCCACCTTAATCGCATTTCTCAGCTTTCCCTCCTTCTGAATATGTGGAACTCCATATCATAATATTTACGAAATTCTGCTTTATAGAATTAGCACAATTCGAAATTCAGTACTTGCCAGGGAAAATCAAACAGGAATTACTGGATTTGAGGAAAGTCTAGTTTATTTACTTTGTGATGTCTGGAATTCTGTTGGTCAGATCTACAGCATCTATTGTAGGAATTTAATCGGCATATTTGCTGGAGTTTATGTGCATGGGATGTGCAAAGATGTTAGTGCATTTAATATTATACATACACATTTGTGGTGCTAGGGGATAAATGGCATAAAAAGGTTAAACGTCATACATGAATAGGGTGATACCATGCTAGCATACATATGTGTTAGCACCAGTATGAGAAGGCCTCTCTTTGAAAGGCCAGATGGGCCTTTCCCAGAAGTAGAAAACCACTTAGAGCCATCACATCCCAATTAATGCATTAACTTGATCCTTATGGTCACTGGTGCTGCTGCTTGCTAGCCATGTGACTTTGAGCTTACGGGCTCTAATTACCCATCTCAGAAATATAAAGGGTGGTATCTGCCTTGCCTGGTTGTTATGAAGAATCAAAGTAACATTTGTAACTCACCTAGCATTGTGTATGGGGATTTTAGGTAGATTCTAAATGTTAGCTATCATTATCTCCTGGTTTTAGCTAAATAAACTAAATAATATATCTGAACTAATCAGACCCCTGGGGGAACATACCAGAGTCTTAGAGAAAGAGGAGAGGTAGAAGCCCCTTGCCAGTTGTTATAAGTATTACAAATGTAATGTTCCTATTGCGTGGGGGGATGGGGAAGAGGCCACTGAAAAACGCTGGTGTAGAAAACAAGTTCTTCGGTGAATAGAGGAAGGAAAGGAACTTAGACATAGGGAACTCAAGAGGCAGAAGGCAAGGCAAAACCAAAGCATGTAATTTGATGTTTGAACTCAAGTGAACTTAATTTCTGTTTTTCGTATTACACCATTACCATTTTTTTTTTTTATTTGACAGAGATCACAAGTGGGTGGAGAAGCAGGCAGAGAGAGAGAGAGAGGAGGAAGCAGGCTCCCTGCAGAGCAGAGAGCCCGATGTGGGACTCGATCCCAGGACCCTGAGACCATGACCTGAGCTGAAGGCAGAGGCTTAACCACTGAGCCACCCAGGTGCCCCCACACCATTACCATTTTTAACAAAATATGACATTCTTCTTAACTTTTAAGTTTGAAGATTTTACAGGTAATAGTTAACTAAACACTTCCAGTGTGCCAGCCTGTATGGGCACATAGTTTTTTACATGCAATGTCTCATTTCATCCTCACGACAACGTGAGGTAGATACTTTTGTTATCTCCAGCTTTATGGATGAGAATACCCAGGCTTAGAAATATCAAGTTGGTCAAGGTCACACAGCTAGGAAGCAGCTGAGCAGGGGTTCAAATCCAGAAGCATCTGACTTTCAAGACTGTGCTTTATGGGGATCTCTGGGTGGGGAAAGCCTTTAAGTGTCTTGTTTCAAGTCAAGATTTGTTTATAAAAATGCTTGGGCATAGAGAAGGGGGGCTTCCTTTGAGGTTTTTTTCTCCATGTAAATATCAGTCATCCAGTATACAGAAGAACTCAACCAAAATCTTATAATATAAATTCTGAAGACCTCATTATGACTTTTTTCAAAGCTTTATAGAATATTTTAGAATGCATTCTAAGAGATTTATGCAATGAGGCACTCCTAAAGTCACATTTTTAATATCAGTCATATTTATCTACTTTTATGGCCTTGAGACCCTAGGTTCACATTGTAAAACACATGCAAAGAATCTGAATGTATAAAATAATCAACAAATTAAGATCACAAGGGAACTTTGGCAGTCAAACAAACCAATAATAAACGGCATGTCTATAAGTACCACATATTGAATGCCTTCTCTGTACCTGGCATTTTACACATGTTCTTCTCATCTGGTGTTCACCACAATCTTGTGATGGAGTGGTCATTGCTTGATTTTCACAGATGAACATATCAAAGTTCAGAGAGGGCACACAATTTGCCCATTACTGTAAGTCTGTTAAGTGGCAGAAGAAGATTCAAATATAGGTCTGAATCCAAGATGACTCCAAAGTCTGTGTCCTCTGCATATGTTATCTTATAAGACACTAATACTACTTTTAATAATATTACCTTCTGGAAGTTATCCCATAGGAAACAGCTAAGAGTACATAATGTTAACCTGCCTCCCCCAGCAAAACTAAGAAATGGAACTATTTTATGAACAACATAGTAAAAATGTAGTATGTAAATAAACACAACCAAGACATCAGACTGTTTCTACTAGAAGAGTCTGATTCATTAGTACAGGAAGTCCTTATTAGCATTGTGTGATTAGCATTGGTAAAGCCTCCTTAAAATAATTCTATTTAAAACAGGGACTAAATTTCAGAGAAATTGGTGAAAAGTGGACTTTATTTGAAAATAAAACTCAGTGTTATTAAAATATATTTAGCCTATCTTCTATGGAAAAAATTTATGTTGTAAGTACAACTATGTGCTAATTATGGAATGAATAAACAATAGATCAAGAAGATTATTGCTGGCTTAATTTTTTTCTAACAGATATGAATCACCTCACAACATGCTTTATTTCATATTTGACTTTTAGGCCATAATCAAAAAGAGGGTTGTTTTGTAAAAATGTTTGAGGGCTTCATCAGTTTTCCCAGGGATCTCACTTAATTTTTCGATATTCGCAGTATTCTCTTCATTTCTTCTGAAACATCAATATAGTCATCATCCCTGTTGACTTTACCTTCACTTGTTTGTTTAACTCTGTAGGCCCTCGTTTGCCAGTTCCTTTACCAACTTCACTTTCATTGATACCATGAAACCTTACACCTTTTGCAAGATTTGCAATTTCACTTCACAATAGAACTGAATATTTGCATTGAGTCATAAATGGTTACCACAATGGGGAGTGAAGGAGGGGAGTCTAATGTTTAAAAGATTTTTGGACAGGTAACTGATTTATAGGTTGCCATATCATTAATAAATATTTTGATCTACTTATGACTTTTGCTTCACAATCTCACTACAGTGAAAGAAGGTGTGAACTTAGGGAGCATGCCTGTCAAAGAGGTGGAGGTTAGTAAACAAGACTGAGAGACACAGTTTGAATCTGGAAGAAAAAGTATGTGCATATGTGTCATACAATAAATGATGTACATATGTACATCTAACCAGAGAGTTGTTTCATGCTTGAAAAAAAAGATGGCATCTTCTTCGGGCCTCTCATATCTTAGATAAAATATTCCTCAAGGATAGATATCTCCTTTTGTTTTCATTTTGGACTCACTTTCTGCTCATAATTTGGTTTCCCACTTGTTCTGCCTGCAGGGAAAGAATGTACTGGCTACAACCACAGGAGCCTGGTGTGCATTGTGACAGTTTCGGTTGTTTTGTCAATAC